CCACCCCATGACCATTACTTCCAGTTTCAAAAAGCAAAGATGGAAGTCTTCAGAAATCAGACTTGGCACTATACACATACGTCTTTTGTGCCAGTGCTTCTACAGCATCGCCCTTACTTTCAGTACAGGCCACAGTTTATTTGGTTCTTAAGACGTGTCTATTTACAAAGCATGAAGAGTGCATCTGGAGGTCTGAAACACAGGTGCTCTGGACCTGGGAAAGATGACAAATGAGAGCAGCAGTCTGGGCTATCATAAATTTCTCGGTCAATGCACTTTTAAGAAATGGGGAGTAAAATGTCTCTTATAAGCACTTCTTTTGACACAGTTTTTCATGATCCTCTGAATGTTTCACTACACTGCTGAGTGATCATCCACTGATATGGAGTGATGCTGATAATAAAGACACAGAGATGACCTTAGAGCTGCGGAGAGCAAGCACAGAGACTCTGCTGCTTCCAGGTGCTTCCAGGAATAGCAGAGCCACTAATGGCGCTGGCCAGCAAAGTGGGCTGTAATGCCTGTTGATGGAAAACACAGCCGGCCAATTACAGCGACCATATCTAATCACCAGGGTCAAGGGTCAACTCCCATCCACCATCTGTCTTCATTTGGCGTCTCTGTCATGAGCTGTTGCTTCATTGCCAGTGAAGAGTTTAAAAGACCTGAATGTACAGTCATGAGGCAAAGGGAGGACAGTGCATGACACGTACACAGTGAACAGTGATGTCCTAGCTGACATTCAAGGTCCATCCATAGTGCACTTCACAAACATGCTCACACTGATTCAAAGGTATCTGTGGCTGATGGGACAGATCTGCTCAGACAGCAACATTATGGGAGGGACATCATAACCTTGAAAAGTCTGGAGCCTCCTGCCGTCTCCTCTCAGAGGAGAGAGAGAAGCTGTTGTCATTCAGCACACATCGTTTAGAAAGACTGAGTGTCAAGTGTAATAAATCACCCTGTCTATGCAAACAGAAACAGAGACAGATCCGCGTGTATTCTGAGACATTAGTGTGCACAGTCAGTAATTATGCATGTCTAAAGGGTCAGTTCATCCAAAAATGACATCACTGTGAGATAAGAGCACATGCTGATAGTAGAGAAGAGAGTTCATGGAAAGATCAAATGGCAAGTTGTTGTTGTTGTGCTTTAAACTCACTGTAAAAAGTGGAAGATGTTCCACTGACAGTGGATGTTGTAGCATTTTATTTTAAAAAGTTAAGCTAGCTCTTGTGGATTAATAATAATTCTCCTCTATATGTACTGCATCACATCCTGTCTGGGAACTGTTGGATTTGAACTAAATATTAAAGTTTCTATTTGAAGTTTGAAAAACCCCACAAAGCCAGAAAGACAAAGAGTTTCTCCAACTAGAGATTAGAGGGTTTTTCCATAGCATTCCTTGGATGCATTATTTTTTTCAGTCAGTCACTTCTCACTGGAATTTCACATAATGTTAGCTAGCTAGTAGCTCACAGAGCTAGCAGGCGTCTAACAAGAGAAGTTAGAAAAGAAAACTGAAAACACAAAGACAGGACCGATGTTACAGAACAACTGTCTATTGAAAACCCATGGAAAATTCCCACACTGAGGACCTGAATGAAAAAGCTGCAATTTAGCTTGAACAAGCTGATTAGACCTGGTTTACATAATCTAGTTAAAGTGGCTATCCAACTCAGTGAGTTACAGATCAGCCACAGCGATCCTGTCATGTTCCTAGACTCTAGTTCTGATTGGTGAATTATCATTGCTGTTGGGAATGATGACTATTTCATAGTCATTTATTATAACCAGATCTGAGGCAATAAAACAGGAAATATAAATATACTTAAATTAAACCAGTGTGGGAAAGATTAGATGATCACAGTGGTCGTGTGAGCACGTTTAAATAAATGTGTGCCCCTCCCTTCCTTCCCTCCCCATCTCCAGCTGCCTCCCTCTTCCCGCTCCACCACAACCACCCACACATGCAGGGCCTTGGAGTAGGGGTATGTCACCAGGGTGCAGAGGAGGCTACCCCCCCCCCTCTGTCCCCTTCTGGCTGCCTCTGCCTCAATTTTATCCCACAACTTAGACATTCACATTACTCACACTCTCATTACACATACATATAGGATCTTGGGGGTGGGCACGATACACGGAGTCCAAAGTACCATCAGGGTGTACACCCCACCCCTGGCTCGTTGCCCACCTCTCAATTTAAATACACGTAGACATTGAGGGCTAGCAGGAGGGACCATGCGCTTACCTGCTGCTCTCTGGCAGGTAGCTCCATGCCCTCCTGGGTTTTAAATGCACCTTAGAACACACATGCATCAACACTACAATGAGCGGGTGGAGGGAGGTTTGGAGTCTTCTCTCACCCCCGTTCTCTGCGACCTGCTGGAGCGGGGGGGCTAGGAGGAGGAGTTGGCCGTCCGACTGCGGTCTGGAGTGTGGAGCCTTCCTGCTGCTGCGGAGTCGGGGCGGTCTGCCTCCCCCCACCGCAGGGAAAAGGGAACACCACCTGGGTCTGGGTGCAGTTCCCCCCTCCAGGGGCAGGGGGCACCTAGACCCGGTTTGTAGAGTACGCTTGGGGAGTGTGATCGTGTGTACAGCGTCTCTTTATGTCTGTCTCCACGTTGGTTGAGTGTGGAGTAAGTGCATATGAGAGCATGAGGGTGGGAATGGATGTTTGTGTCTGTGTGTGCCTGTATGTCTGTGTCTATATGTCAGGTTGGGTGTCAGGCGCCACCTCTCTGGGGACATCTCAGGCCCTCCAAGGTTTGGAGGCCTATCTCCCCCTACCACCACTTCCCCTGCCAGTGGCGGACCCCCTCAGACATCGGTGCGTTGGTGGTTCTTTGTGTCCGGGGATGGGCGTCCAGGTACACACCGGCTCACTCCTTGGCGGCCGCTTATCGGGGCCTGGAGCCTGGGGCTCGCTCGGGCCACTTCGGAGGTGGGGTGCCCCCGGCCTCTCGGCCTGGGGCTCGGTCACTCAGGCGCAGCTGGCTGCCGGCGGAGCTCACGGGCGCGTCACTGCAACTCCCCCTGGCTTCTGCTCCGCGGCTGCTGAGTGAGCCCTCATCTGGGACTCTCCTCAGCTCTTTCTGGGACAGTGGCCGGCTGCCCCTCTGTTGGTCTTCCTTGGTCTCTTGTGTTCTGGGGGCCTCTGGATGTCTGGAGTTTTGATCTCCTCCATACCTGCTTCATGCCCTGGAGGACGGGGCTGTGGCCCCCCCACACCCTCTAGCAGATTATTACATGAAGGAACCTTTTAAAAAACAAGCGCGTCCATGCTCACAGGTGTACACACGGGTGATCACACCCACAAACTACACCCTTTTTGGCTCCTACCTCAAAGCACACTGTGTTCTGTTGATCTTATGTGCTGCACAATAATGTTTAATATTTAGTATTTACTGTCATATTCCATATATCATTGTGATGTTGTTTATTCTATTACTCTTGTTCTCTTCTGCTTGTTTCTTTTTTCTTTCTCAGCAGGTGATCCAGGTGATTGATATATGCATTTTTTTTTCTCTGCCCGTTCTGTTGGTTTTTGTCTTTTGCCCTTCTCCCCCGTCCCTCTTCTCAGCTGTTTCTCTTTCCCTCTTTCTTTCTCCCTTCTTTCCCCCAGTCAAGTCTGTCCCGTATTCAGTAAGTGAAAATAAAATAAACAATAAAAGGTGAATCAAATGGACCATTACGGCAAGGCTGGGATGGTCAGTTTGGTAAAGTAAATCCGTTGGGCATCTTTCTGTGCCTTTAGACAACAATTCTGATGCAAAAGAGCCAAACGGGACAGGCCAAAAAAAAAAAATAAATAAATAAATGTGTGACAGCCTAGACCTAACAGAGGGTGAGAGATGGAGAAAGTGTATCTGTGCAGTCGGCTGTGGCTCCAGCTGTGGTGTGCTTTCAGGCAGGAGTGGAGGTGTGAGCGCACAGCCGGGTGCCGCCCCCTTCTCACCCCGACACCCTCAATAAGTCGCTTTCTCTCCGTTAATTAGGAGAACCCTGTGGGTGTGGGGTGTGGGGGTTGTGAAACAGCTGTCCATCCTGCGGTTGCATCAGAGGCCCAGTTCATGCACTCACATCTAAGCAAATTCACAATAATTATGATGAACATCACCTATCCTTCATGTGAGGAGAGCACACTCTGATACAACAGTCAAAAAGTCAGAAGCAACCAAGTATTTTAGTCTTCTTTCAAAGACTTTCAAAGATTTGCTGTGCTATTAGAAAAGTTTGTACACTGTCATCATTGTCATAGTCCCTCTGTGATCAGCGTAGAATGAACCTGTTATACATCTTACAGCAAGGCAACGTCTTTGACAAATCAGTGGAATAGCCTCAAACACTTTCACAATGGAAACCTGCTACCCAGTTAGCAGTAACTGACTTTAAAAATAAAGTTATAAAATTATAAAATGGAAAATTGTCATTCTTGAAAACAAAAAAGTAAAATGAATCACCAAATTTGCTCGAAGAACTGTTAATAACCTAACAACCTGCCCAAGCGAGTCTCTGTGTGAGAAACACCAGACTGGCTGCATTGTACACCTTTGTATAAGAGTCATAGTTCAATTAGCACCGGCTGTCAGATGCTCATATAGTATTAGAAACCACCATGCACCACCACCCCCACACCTTTTAGATATCAAATAGCAGCCATTATTCAAACCAAGTGTTTTACTCTTCCTTCAAAGACGTGTTACTGCTAGAAAAGTTTGTTTTTAGGTTGTGATCCAACGCTATCAACGTCTCCATGAAGAGGTTGTTTCAAGCTATTGCTAGATGTGCCAGGCATCTTGTTTAAAGCATACTAAGGACTTAAAGCTGTTTGTCTCAACCTATTGCTTCTGGATGTGCTCTCACTCTCAAAGAGGAGTAACATGAAGATGTGCTTTGCGTTCATATTCTATAACAACTGGTACATTCCTGCGTAAATCCCAGCCATTACTGATTGTGCTTTCACTGGGATGAACCGAAGGAAACGTAGCACTCACCCTCGCACTGTTTCCCATCTCCCTTGTATCCAGGCTTGCAGATGCAGTTGTAGGATTTGGCTGTGTTCTGGCAGAGGGCGTCGATGTGGCAGTCGTCTGAGTCCTCTGCGCACTCATCTACATCTGCACAAACACAAAACATCAGCACCTAATTAGACGCGAGTCCCTGGATCAATGAACTCCACGGTGTTGCATGTGATAACTGATATATTGTTGTGATGTGATGTCATCACTTTACACATGTGAGCTAACTTAACAATTACAGAAGGTTTTTGTATTTCCTTTGTTTGTTTGTTTGTTTGTTTGTTTGTTTGTTTGTTTGTTTGTTTGTTTGTTTGTTTGTTTGTTTGTTTGTTTGTTTTGCCTGTCCCGTTTGGTTCTTTAGCCGTCAGAATTGTTGTCTGAAGGCCAACAAAGATATCCGACAGATTTACTTTATCAATCATCATCATGATATTGATATGATAGTGGTTAAGAGAGTCATTGAGGCTATTATAAAACCGTTTACATACATCTGTAATTTATCATTTCAAACTGGTCAATTTCCAGACAGAATGAAAATAGCAATAACTATAAAACCACATTACATTCCCTTTTTACTCTTCAAAAAAAAGCAATTCGAATCATCCACAATGCAGGTTATAGGGAACATACAAACTCACTATTTTTACAGTCTGAAATATTGAAAATTGACGATCTAGTGAAATTCCAAACAGCATAAATTCTATTCAAAGCAAAAAATAAAGAACTGCCAGGTAATATTCAGAGTATGTTTTTTTTGAAAGAAGGAAGTTATAATTTAAGGGGTTTTTGTAACTTCAAAACAATGAAGGTCCGTACTACAAGAAAGAGCTTTTGTGTTTCTGTGCATGGAGTGAAACTATGGAACAAACTGAATATGGAATTAAAGCAACGTCCAAACATAAAACTGTTCAAAAAGAGTTATAAAAATATGATCTTCTCCAACTATAAAGAAAAGGAAAATATTGAAATTAAGTGAATGTCTCTATTTAAAAAAATAAAATTTATGATGTGATATTACAGTATATATTATATCAGAAATCTGTTCACTATTTTTATTACAAATGTTATCAGTAAGGAAGCTGACTAAATATTAACTGATAATTTATGGCAAAGGGGTGGGATTAAATAAGTGTGTACTTCTTCCCTTTCAACATGTAAATTAATCAGAACGTTTTTTTGTATGTATTTTGTATACTACTTTTTTTCTCTCTTATTTTCTTTTCTAAATGTACTTGTATATTGTTCACATGTTGAAATAAATTACCAATCAATCAATCAATCAATCAATCAAATGGATCATCATCATGCCGTATCGGTCCATTTGATCGACCATTGTTGTTGTTATTTATTTTATTTTCAGTTGTTACAGACGGGACAGACATGGCTGTGGGACAGGAAAGGGAGAAAGAAAGAAAAAGAGAGGGGAAGAGGGACAGTGAGAAAGGGCACTTAAAAAGAGAAAGAAAAAAACCTCCCGGATCACCTGTTGAGAGAAAAAAAAAAAGAAAACAAGCAAAAAAAGAGAGCAACATAATAAACACAACACCATCGCATTAATCTAGCTAAGTGTGAATAACAGTAAATACTAAATATTGAAAGTTGTTGTGCAGCACGCAGGATCGACAGCACACAATTTACTTTGAGGTAGCAGCCAGGTTTGTGTTAGTTTGTGTCTGTGAACAGTGAACACCCAATGAGCAAGTGGTCATTGCTGCACTTTACCGAGACAGGAGCGTCCTTTGGTGACAACACATATATACAGAACAGATTCAGAAAAGGATGCTTTGGCTTGTTTAATTACAAAGTTTGCCCAGCAGGGGGCTCTGACTGTATTGTTCTCAGCACTGTCTGCAGTACATGTAGCAGAGTACATGTCAGAGAGCCCAGAGATAATAAAATCATTTGAGAAATAAATTGCTAAAGTTATTTAAATATAAACTAGTTGTTATGAACACGTAGTGTGCATCAGTTTGATAGTAATATTCCCACTGACACATTTGGGTTCTTCATATTCTTCTCTCAAACGAGCAGTGACTGCTGTTGAATATGAACAATAAGAGAATTGATGAGTGAAACTAGCTACTCTGTGTGATGTGTCGTCCAGTCACGTGAACACAGAGTGGCCAAGCGTGGAAACAGGTTGAGGTTCAAGCACCCACTGATAACTCTGATGAAACACACTGATTTAATACTGTAACAGTGTAACAATGTTCCAGCACTCAACTTCCACATTTCCACACAGTCTGTGAACTTCATTTAAGGAATGCTTTCCATTCTTGGTCTAAGCAACAAAACTTAAAACTGCAACAAGTGAAAGTCCTTCATTTATAATTTTACCAATGTGGAAGTTTCATCATGAAAAAATGAATTGAAGCATTAAAGTTCTCTATGTAGAAAAGCACTTTAATGACATTATTTTCACTCATACATTACTGCCAGGATTCAGCTGTTAGTTTTTTATATTTTTGCTTTGGTTTATCTGGGCCCAGATTGTCTGTGCAGAGGTGCTACGAGCTCAGTGAACTGTTCTAGGGGAATACTCGTCTCGTGACTTCCAGGATGGGGTTTTACCCTGATGTGTTGTTGCAATGGTAATCCTGCTCAGCATGAGAGGAAACGTCATTTGTTGTATGAGTTCAGGAACCAGTGGTGCAAAGCTAACAACTGAACACCTCTAATTTAAAAAAAACCTGCCTAGATGCACCACTGGTTGGTCTCAGATAGCCGGACTCAGCTGCTGAAGGAGAGCTGTTCATGACTGGGCTTGGGGACAGCTCGATGAACCTGATTCTATGTTAAGGTCTTGTTGAAAGTCATTCCTTGATGAGGCAGCTCATGCGGTAGAGTGGGTGGTCTACCAACTGGAAGGCTGGTGAATCGATCCCCAGCTCCTCTAGTTGAGGTGTCCTTGGCAAAAGACAGAGTCCACAGTTGCCTGCGATCCATATATGTGCATGTAGGATATATGTGTGCATGATTGGGTGAATGAAATGTGTAGTAGGGAGTGCCCAGCTTGAGTAGAAAGGTGCTATAAAGATGCTATATAAGTACCAGTCCATTTACCATTTACCCTGACAACCAGGAGACATGATCTGTCCTGCTTATCCTGTGTCTGCTCCAAGGTCTCCTCACCAACAGCTCACCTTAAACTCCAGCAGGCATCCTAATCAGATGCCCCGACCAATGTTGAGGACATATGTAACTCAAACTTCTACTTAAAAACCCGGGTAACTGTACTCAGGCTCTATTCTGGCACAGCTTGTATTGTATGAAGGTCAAGTATCCACGAAATATTGTGAGAACCATTAAATTAATAAAAGCAAATGAAAGACGTGTAATTACTCGTCCATCATGTCAGACATTTGTGTTATTAGACACACTTTTGTTAGACAATAAGAAAAGTGAAAACAGTTTGAGATATTATAACCCAGACTATTCTGTTCGATGGATCAAAGTGTGAGAGAAAAGATTGTAAAGCTCCAGGTTAAACCCATGGTTCGACCAGCTGTCTATAAATGATTTGAATAAAATGATGTGTGCTGCTTTATTCAGCTTTAATGTGACTAATTTGGCTCTTTTGCTGTTTTAAATCGTTCATTTTACCTTTTTGTTTTGCTTGAGAGTGTGACAGTGAAGGAGAGCTCTCCCGTCATGGTGCAGCTGCAGACGACATGCAGAGAGCAAAGGGCTTAACAGCTCTTCAATTGATCAAGTTATTGATAGAGGAGCTGGTCACATCTGGGCCTCAATCCAAGGGCAAAGGGCCAGCTTATTACAGAGGGAATAAACACACACACACATTCACACAAGGGGGGGACTCACAAACACCGACACAGAGATTTGTTGGATCCTACTGTCAGATCCTTCACCATCTCCACAGAGCTGCTTTCCTCGTCCTCCGCTTCCACCAGAATACAAAAGGCCAAGGTGTAGGCTAGCTACAGGCGATGAATACACCTTAAAAGGAATTTTCCAATAAATAATTTCCCAATGGAAAGAAAAAAAAGTTTGGACCTAATTTGTGTAGAAGTGAGAAAGAGAAAACTAAAAAGTGGTCTGAGGGTTTCAGCTCCAAGTTGTAGCGTTTTATTTTATTAGATCATTGGAGGGGGGCATTTTAGGAGTTTGTCTGCGCTGCCTGCATCGTGGTTCGCTGTCTCAATAACCTCACCCTGTTCCCAGAGGTGAGAGTCTTAACAATATGCTGCTGCTACTACAGGCTCGTTATTGGCGCCTGCTGCCTGCCTGTTCCTCCTGGGACTTTTGAAGGTCCTCCTGTCACCTTCACCAACCCTCCTCACCCCACATTTACACACACACACACACACACACACACACACACACACACACACACACGCACACACACACGCACGCACACACCTTCCTCCTCGTCCCCTCCTCCAGCTCTGGAAAGCCGGAGACGAGATGCTACGTTTCGTTAAATGACTTGCGCCGTCTCACCCCCTGAGTAAAATCCTGAAAACAGGCAGCGCTCTCACTCCAAATCAAAGCAAACGAGAGCCCAGACCATAGATCAAGCTGTGGTTTCCGACTGAAACTGACCTTTGCGCGCAGGAAACAGAAGTTCCGGTGAAGTCTGGGAGACCACTAAACCCAATTGCGCGTCACAAATGCCGCACAGAGGGAAAACGGTGATGTAAAGCAGAGGTCCTGCCAAAGTGGTGTCACTTAGCTTAATAGATCAAGTATGCTTTTATGAAACGCCCAAGTTAAATTCACACCGAGCGAAAATAGTGCGCAATCGCGAGTTTTCAGTGCCATGAAGTGTAGTTTTTGCATCAACACAGCACTGTTATGTCACATGAAAACAAGTGCCATGTAATGTCATTGCTGTATTAATACACAATGCAATTGTAGTTAAAAGGTAAGTTTAAAGACGTCGGGATATTTGAAAGATTGTTTTAAAGTCTCCAGCGACAATATTCCAAGTAGATTTTCACTCATCATTTCCTCATCGGAGGAGCCGGCAAGACAGAAGCCACCACAAAAGTACTAATGGTTGACAATAAAGCAAGACAGAGAGGAAAGGGGAGCGCTTACCTGCCAGTCCGGCATTCCCCATCACCCCGCAAGTATTTATGAGGAGGATGAACAAACAAAAGTCCCGAGAAAAACAAGCGCTCCCCATGCTGACAGACGGTGTGAGGATTCAGCACGGCTTTTCTGGGGGTTTGGACCGGAGGTGTGTGTGTGTGTGTGTGTGTCTGGTTGTGTGTGTGTGTGTGTGTGTGTTGGTGTGTGTGTGTGTGTGACAGTGGTGAAATTAAAGAACCGCTTTCAGTGGACTGGCAGTGCAGAGAAGAGAGGGGGGGGGGGGGGAGAACGGGAGGGGGGGGGGAGAGAGAGAAAAGTCCTAGCTTCTGATTGGCGGTGTGATGGGATAGAGAGAGGGCGAAGAGAGAGAGAGAGAGAGAGAGAGAGAGGCGACGAGCATGGGTGTGACTACGACAACGTGATGGAGGTACTCGGGTTCTTTTCAAGCTCAAAGCTCTCTGATAAAAACATCATTGTGAAAAATGACCAAAAAGGCCGGCGACCCCCGAGACATCCCAGGAGCTGATTTTTTTATTTTGAAGTATTTATTTAGGTTTTCCTGTGTGAAATCACTTGTATAGTAACCTCTCCAGATCTCTTTAGATGAATAAAACAGTAACGCATTAGCGTGGATATAGCCTGAGGCTATGGAGAGGGAAAGGTACTTTTTGATCAGAACCCACGCACATGACATATAACAAATACCGATGCCAAAAGTCAAGCGCGCTGTGAGCCACTAAAAGCTTTCGCCGGCGATACAGAGTCCTGTCAGCGCGCATGCAGCGATTTTCTTTGAGCAATCCTAATGTTTCCATAGCAAAAGGAGGTTATGAGTAAGAACAATCTATTTAAATGTGTACAAATATTACTGGGTTCAGTAGAAGCAGCATAAATCTTTGTTTTAAAAATGCACGTCAGACTGCGTTTCTTGCTTGGGTCAGATACATAGACTGTATATAAAAGATGAACACAGTCACTCACTGGTCTGTGATATTTTTAAAAATCACTACACTATTGTTTGCTCTTTGCCATCACAGGGTCGTGAGCAGAGGCTCAGAGCCCCCCCCCCCCCAGACTATTGAATTATTTGTGTGCAGTGATTTTAGCGAGAATGCAGGCTTACGCAGCTTCCTCATGAATCTTTCAGACATCTTTTACATACAGCCAAGACCTCTGCCTGGATCCAGATCTTTGAATCCATCCACCCTCTAGTGGCTGATGACAGAAGACAAAATTCCATCCTCCTAGAAACTAGCTGTCACGCTGAAGCACTTTCTGATTTCTGGTCGGTACGAGATCGGTGGAAGTGTTTGCTGGTCACATGGTTTCAGAACAAACCAGATCAAGAACTTGGTGTAAGGTGTGGTGAAGCTTAATGTGTTCATTTTTATTTTTAAGGGCTTTATTGGCATGGATGTTTAAATAAACAAATATCCAGAACATACAATAAACAGTAACAGCAATATAAATCTTTTCCTTCTTCTTCTCTTGGCAGCTCCCTTTGTTTTCAGCCGATCACCTGCCTCCATCTCACCCTCTTGCTCAACATGCCTACATCCATGAACCCTGGTATGGGTGTGTTTTCCTTTATGTCCCCGAGGTTTACAGTCTAGGAAATTACCTATAATTTTAATCTTTTAGGATGACAGTGTTTCTCATTCCTTGCACATTGATATGCTTTCTGAACTGTAACCAGCATGACTTTGGAGCTTTCATGGATAAGGAGGACACCTAGTGGCCTGATGTCAAGAGGCTAAGGAGTAGCAAATTAGGAAACAGACCTTTGGGGGAAATTGAGTATGTAGTCATTTGAATGAAAGGAAAAGCACAATGAAAAGAAATGCAGGGATAGTAGGAGGTTCGCTGTCTTGTGACAAAATATTCCACGTGTTCTGAAGGGTCAGATATGGCCTGGCTTCTCTTTTTGTTAGAACTCAAGGACTACAGTTCATAACACTGTAAACATACATATGTGAAAATGAAATTATTTTTGTCAGACATATACAGTGGGGCAAAAAAGTATTTAGTCAGCCACCGATTGTGCAAGTTCCCCCACCTAAAATGATGACAGAGGTCAGTAATTTGCACCAGAGGTACACTTCAACTGTGAGAGACAGAATGTGAAAAAAAAATCCATGAATCCACATGGTAGGATTTGTAAAGAATTTATTCGTAAATCAGGGTGGAAAATAAGTATTTGGTCAATAACAAAAATACAACTCAATACTTTGTAACATAACCTTTGTTGGCAATAACAGAGGTCAAACGTTTACTATAGGTCTTTACCAGGTTTGCACACACAGTAGCTGGTATTTTGGCCCATTCCTCCATGCAGATCTTCTCGAGAGCAGTGATGTTTTGGGGCTGTCGCCGAGCAACACGGACTTTCAACTCCCGCCACAGATTTTCTATGGGGTTGAGGTCTGGAGACTGGCTAGGCCACTCCAGGACTTTCAAATGCTTCTTACGGAGCCACTCCTTTGTTGCCCGGGCGGTGTGTTTTGGATCATTGTCATGTTGGAAGACCCAGCCTCGTTTCATCTTCAAAGTTCTCACTGATGGAAGGAGGTTTTGGCTCAAAATCTCACGATACATGGCCCCATTCATTCTGTCCTTAACACGGATCAGTCGTCCTGTCCCCTTGGCAGAAAAACAGCCCCATAGCATGATGTTTCCACCCCCATGCTTCACAGTAGGTATGGTGTTCTTGGGATGCAACTCAGTATTCTTCTTCCTCCAAACACGACGAGTTGAGTTTATACCAAAAAGTTCTACTTTGGTTTCATCTGACCACATGACATTCTCCCAATCCTCTGCTGTATCATCCATGTGCTCTCTGGCAAACTT